TTCTTCTCAATTTCTTCTTTGCTCCATCTCTTCTATTCTTCTTCATCTCCATCTCTTCATTGCTCCATCTCTTCTATTCTTCTCAATCTCTTCATTGCTCTATCCCTTGTGTTCTTCTCAGGCTCTATGTCTCCATTGTGCCATCTCTTCCATTCTTCTCCATATCTTCACTGCTCCATTTCTTCCATTCTTCTCCATCTCTTCATTGCTCGATCTCTTCTGTTCTTCTCAGTCTCTATCTCTTTATTACTCCATCTCTTCGATTCTTCTCAGTCTCTGAATTGCTCATTCTCTTCAATTTTTCAATATCAATATATTATTAATCAATCTCTTCTATTCTTCGCAATCTCCATCTCTTCATTGTTCTGTCTCTTCCATTTTTCTCCATCTCTTCATTGTTCTATCTTTTCCATTCTTCTCCATCTCTTCATTGCTCCATCTCTTTTATTCTTCTCATTTCTCTCTCTTCATTGCTCCACCAAAGTGAAATAACAGAGAAGGTGCAGAAGCACAGCAATAAGTTTAGTTAGCTGATCACTTTTATCTCTCCTTCTATCAGCGTTTTCCTTTTGAGCACATTTAGCAGATTATGATGGGCCCCTAGTGTTAGCCCTCCCTTTATCAGTTTGAGCGCTGCTGTAAAGAGCATTACAACAGGTGAAACCAAGACAGATTCAGTTACCTAAACTCGTTGCATTAAAAATACCGTTAAATATTTTTAAACTAATACATAAATGCATTCATTGGTGCTCAATCCTCAAATCATCTCTGAATTGGTGCTAACACTGACCTGCCTTCTGGAGGGTGGCTATTTTTGTTTTCCATGGTCCCTGTGTGTTGTTAAGTAGCCACCGCTCCAAGCTCACTCCCATGATGGACTATAACTTCAAATTAGCTAACTAAATGTGAGATTGTAGTCCATCACGGGAGCGAGCTTGGAGCGGTGGTTACTTTACAACACACACAGGGACCATGGGGAACAAAAGTAGCCCCCCTCCAGAAGGAAGGACCGTGTCGGCACCAATTCAGAGCTGATTTGAGGATCTACAGATAAGTGATGCACAAATAAGATACATTTTTGTTAATAGTTAAGGTACTTCAATGCATTTGAGTTTAGTGTCATTTTGTTATTTTGGTTGCTATGTAATATCTATTCATGCCTTAAATGACATTTTCTGAACCATACGTTTATATAACAAGAAATCTGAACTTGTGAAAAATGTATTTCTTATATAATCAGAAATCTGAACTTGTAAAAAAAAATGTTCCTACCAATATTCTTTATCTGTGATTTGATCTTTAGCATGTTCTGCATCAATATTCAACTTTCATGGTTAAAGTAAACCTGTACTGAAAGAAATATAGGACTACCGTTACTGACCTCTCCCATTAATAATGACATATATCTGGCTGTTATGCTGATGCAATAGCTTTAAAGCATCCATACTGAGAGAATTATATGGGCTGCCATTGGTTACCTTTATCTGGAAATGCTAGAAGCCTGGCTATCTCTAACTTAAGTGATTTCCGAATCACTGAGCTGGAATAAGTTTATAGCCTGTGAATTCCAAACTCCTCATGTGCATATTTTTGGTTCTATTTGTGACTTTAATGTCACTTTAAAGTACTGAAGCAATGTGATCTGCATATCAGCCAGGCAACTAGTGATTTTAGGTTTAAAAGCTTTTGGCACAGTGTCCCCTTTAAAGCAAACCTGTCAATAAAGAAGTAAGTAAACAGCCATTGCTGATTTCCTTTTAAGAAAGCTAGTTTCTTGGCTTTCATGAAGACCCTCTGGCTTTAATACATTTCTACGTCACTGACTCAGAGGCAGTATGTAGATCAGGAGTCTCAGAGAAAAGTCAGTAGTCCTTATCTGCATGCATGTTCCGAGTCAGAGGTGCCAGTATGACAGCCAGGGAACCAGCATTTTCAGAAAAGCTAAGGAAAAACATACTCCATACTTCTCTCATGACATGAACTGCATCCTTTCTGGCTAAGTGTTCCATCTTGACCCAAATACTCAGTCCAGAGACAACCAGGCAGCTTGGATTTTTGGGAGCTTAGCAAGGGCAACCTTTATAATTCTTTCAACCCAGGCTTACTTTAAGGCAGTGGTCCCCAACCCCCGGTCCGCGGACTGGTACCGGTCCGCGGAATTAAATGGTACCGGGCCGCACAGTCTCAGTGCGGTCCGGTCCTGCAATATGGGGCAGTGCAGGGTCCCGGTGTTCGAACACCGGGGCCCCGCACTGCCGACGGGCTTCACAGTGAGGGGGCGGGTCCTATGACTCACCTCCCCTCCCGGCCGCGTCCATAGTAACAGGAGGCGGGAGGGGAGGTGAGTCACAGGAGGCGTGTGTGTGTCACACGTCCCGCCCCGCCCCCTGCAGTGCACACATCGAAAACTCCCTGGCTGGGTAAGTCCGAGCGCTGGCGCGGGGGGGGAGCAGGGGGGGTTTTATTAATAAAGTGTCTCGTTTAGGAACCTATAAGTGATGTATCTCTGTAATAAAAATATATATGTAATCTCCATGATTTGTTTGTGAAAAAATTCCAATAAAAAAGTTTTATAAAAACAACAAAAAAGTCTCTGTGGTGTACTTTTTTGTTGTTTTTATAAAACTTTTTTATTGGAATTTTTTCACAAACAAATCATGGAGATTACATATATCTTTTTATTACAGAGATACATCACTTATAGGTTCCTAAACGAGACACTTAATTAATATCTATCTACTTTGATCACATAGGACAGTGGTCCCCAACCCCCGGACCTGCACTTTGTACAATATATAAAAAATACAGGGTAGGAAAAAAAAAGGAATTCAGTGTCTAAGGGCTTGTTCACACCAATTGTGATGCGTTCCAGAGTGGCAGCTGCTGGAACGCACCACAATCGCTCACAAAACTTCCCCCTGCGTTCTGGGGCGTGGCAGTGCATTGAATTCAATGGCACTGCTTCGCCTTCCCGCCGCAGTGCGATCGGGAAGTGTGGCAAAACATTGCCTGCGTTCCATTCCACTGCAAACACAAAAAATAGCGCAAGCAGCATTGCAGTGGAACAGAACGCAGGCAATATTTTGCCACGCATCCGATCGCACTACGGGAGGTGGCTGCAGTGCCTTTGACTTCAATGCACCGCAACGCCCCCTCCCACCCCTGAACTCAGCGGGAAGATTTGTGAGTGATTGCTGTGCGTTCCAGCAGCTACCGCTCTGGAAAGCACCGTAATTTGTGTGAACAAGCCCTAAGGGCCCAGTCCCACCATAAGGAGTGCGTGCCAGTGCGTTCAGCCTCTGGAATGCAACCCGGCGGCTCACTTTGTTTTGGGGCAGGAGGGGGCGTGGTGGTCCATTGAACTCAATGGTACTGAAGCCTCGCCCCCCGCCTGCAGTGCGATCGCGGCACCGGAATGCGTAACACATTAGTGCCTGCGTTTTCCGGTCCAGTGCGATCTGCAAAAATGCTGCATGCACTATTTTGTGCAGATTGTACTGGACCAGAACGCGGGCACTAATGTGTCACACGTGTGGGTCACTTCACTTGAGGTCCATTGATATTTCCTCTCATCCCATAAATGAAAGTCTGTACCTCAGTACAGACAGGGGCTGGGAGGAAGAGTCTGCAGGAGCCTCAGCATTGCACTGAATGCTTTGCAGGCTCAAATGCAAAAACATACAAATTGTTTCTTTTATTAATATGTGTGCATTTATTATTTTTTTTGTAAAAGTTGCTCTATGCAGCAAATAGACTCATCATCAGTTACAAGACAACACCACAAGGTGGCACCAAGGCAGACAACCTGGTATGATTCAGCAGACCAGGACCTCCAGGGTACTGTGCATGTGGGCCTGGCATTACTCTAGAAACCAAGAATGATTATGCAGCTTCACAGTTCTCACAAAGGACATTTGACAATTTCAGCTGCATATTGTAAATTAAAGGTAAAATTAAGGTCTGTCTTGTTAGTTTGAATTGTAACTTTCAGATATAGAAATGCTTTATTTCTCGGCTTTCAAGAATCAATATATCCGAAGCACTCAAATATAATTATAGCACTACAGAATTTACAGCCTCACTGTTCTTTAATTTCGCACGGTTGCTGTTCTTGCCACTATAGAATGGGTATAATAATAATTTTAGAGCAACTATACTTATGTTTTGCTTTGCAATTTTATTTTCGGCACAGGCAAAAAAAAAAAAAAAGATCTGCAATACTCGGCATTATTGCCCTTACGGAACCTAGTATTCATTGTTTGGCATGAACTAACATTCATAAACGATGCAATATCATCATCACACACCATCATGTCGTGCTGCAAATTATGCAGAATGGATATAATGCAACACTCAGAATATGGCATTGTATCGCTGCTTTTGGTATTTAATGCACAGCATCACTTGTACTTTTCTAAGTATTTGTAGCAGAGCCTAATCAATGTCATTTAAAAGAGAATGAGTCTGCCTGCATTATTCAGAATGCTGTATTTGCAGAACATGGAAGCACTGTGCTTGCAGAATTTAGAATCCCTATACAGTAGATACAATCTACAAAATAGAAGGAAACACAATGTGAAAGTATTACTTTTAGCAACCAGTCAATATTCAGATTTTAGCACAGGTTTGAAAATGAGAATCTTATTGATTTCTATGAGCTCAATGCAGATTGACTATGCTTATAATGAAGGCAATCTCTACACTGCAGTATCTTTATGGTGTTGAAGGTCTCAGAAGCTTGGATGACATATGAAGGAAATCTCAGTTCAAGTGTTGCTGGATCTTCTCTTGTTTCCACTAAGGTGTCCAACGCACTGTAACTCATCTTGGAAGTTTTATGACTGGTGCACCCTGTCATTACACAGAAATATTACGATTTTTGCTCTAAGCCTAAATATTTACATTGCTTGCTTTATTTGTTGTTGATTTAAGTGTTAATATTTGCAATATATGTTTTTTGCTTTCATGTCCCTGGCAGAGCAAGGGTTTACATCAGCAGTGCTGTTTCCTGCCTGATCAGTATGGATGCAGAGTGACATCACGATTTAGCCAGCAAAGGATGGAATAATGAGGAGGAGGGGAGGCAGTACACAGAGTGTGTGTGAGTGTGTCTGGAGGCAGCCACGCACCAAGATCTGCAGTCAGAATACAGCAGCTTAGGAGACTGGTCCCCACGCTTTGACACAGCCCTGTATGACTGTCACCAAGGTAAGGGTAAGGGAGTGATGTATGCGTGAGACAGAAAGTCACAAGGAGGGAAGCCTTGCATAGAGGTAGAGTTACTCATAATGTGAAGAATGATAAATTACGAGCCCTCTATGCAGAACAGTTTACACTCTCTGATCTTAAGTGTGCTTTTAATGTGATTTTGCATGAATTACATAGGATGCTGGAAGTCGTTGCGGTTATACCCTTGGACTTATGAGACTGCAGAAGGCTTACGCAGCTCTCTTCTCCCACCACGCTCTCACAAACCACCATGCAACAAAGTACTGAACAAATAGACACCCGCCTAATCTTTTGGAGCTGCTCCAAGCAGCAAAGGATTATAAAAAAAAAATATCACATATTACTGCTTCCATTGTAGGGGTGTCTACCAGCTCTGTCCCTAATCCAAGGACATCTGGAGTGGGAACATATGGATATCCAACCAATCCCTCTCTACAACCTGCTGCTAAACGCTTTGTGATGTGGGGGCGTGGGTGAGGAGTAGCTGAATGCCAAGGAGAGGGGAGATTGTTCTGTTTCAGAGAGAGAGAAAAAAGTTGAATGGGAAATACATGGTTAAATGTGAGAGAGAGAAGTGGGCTACATACTGGAAAAGAAATTGTGTAGGTGGACAACAATCCAGCTCAGTATAGGGAAAATGGATCTGTTATTTAACTGACAGAAGAAAGAGAGTTATCTGGTGTGGAATACGGATGGATGTGGCTTAGTGCAAATAATAATGCAGAGTTAATTTGATAAAATGTTTGTATCTAGGCAGTGGGGATGTATTTGATTCTTTAGTAAATTGGTGAATAGTTGAAGAGCTATAATAGGGTACAAGGAGTAGAACATGGTTCTGTTTGTGAAATGCAGTAGTTATAGTTGTCTTGACTTGAGGCGTGACTTGAATGGGCAAAGAAGGGTTGATTGTTGAAGAAGTAGTCTTGTAGAGGCAAGAACTCTTGATGGGATAACAGAAACGGCTGAACCATTGTACTGTGACTGTTGGCTTCTTTGTAGAAGTATGAATCTGAAGAGTACCTTGATTCAGGGCAGTTATAATACAAGAGGCCAAAATAGGACATCTGGCTTCCGCCCACCAGGACAAGAGGCACACCAAGAGACATGCAAGTATTGGAATTTGTATTATGAGGCAGTAAAAGAGCACATATCATTTCCCAGCCCTTGGTGCACTAAGCAGGTAAGAAATGTATATGTACAAGACATGTATACAATATAATGTCTAAGCTAGTAGTTAGTCACATTCAACTGGACATGTCCTATAAAGATGAAGACATTTAATCATCTCATACAAGTGGCTTCATGGGTTTTAATGAGTGTCACTGTACCAGCTATACCATATGAACTCTGTACCGGTTACACCATGACCTGGATGAATATAAAACCTCCACAGACATAAACTGACCAGCTTTTATCATAATCTTTCCTAAAAAAAAACTCTGATAGTTACAAAAATACACTTGTTTTTTAAATCAGCTCTGCATGGCTTACAAAGTAGTGCCTGGGAATAGTCGAGGAACGAGTTGGATTGGAGAGTTGTAATGGTGCATGAGGTGGAGAAATTTGGGTAAATGATAAAGAGTTGTGCTTATGTGATTTATCTACTTTGGACTATGGGTTTATCCATGATTGTAGTACAGCAGACTGCAGGTTTTACAGGTCAATGTGCACAACTGTTACAGAAAACTTCTAAGTATTCTTCATAAGTAAAATGGAAACCATGGCATCTTGGATTTAAGAATGAGTAGTCTTGGAAAAGATGGGTAAAGTAGTACCTGAATAAGAACAGATAAGGGAGTAACAAATGTATTGATATACAGAATTTCATAGCACAGAGACCCATGGTTATTCACCTATATCATCAGCAGTAGAAAGTAGACCATGCTCTGGTGGACTGGAAGAGTTAAGTATAAGATAAGCTAATATAAAGAGGCATGCATTAGCATAGAATTAAAAGAACTGGTAATGGGTCTTAGTAGAGAAAATACCTAGGCATTGCTAATGTGATGAGAAAATCAAAGAGATGTATGGATGACTACGGGGTGGTATAAGTATGTTGTAGAAAGATACACTAATATATGGAGCTATAAATGGGTTTAGAATGGAGATGACCCAGTGTACAAATACGGGGAGTATAGATGGATAGATAGATAGATAGATAGATAATTATAGCAAAGAGAACATGATTGTAAGAAGGGTTTCTGAAATGTGTGGGTGAAGGAATGGATGTGTAGGCAGTAGAAGTGTTGAGAGATGTGTAGGAGTGCATGTGTTAGTATTAAGAGCATAAAAAATTATCCGATAGAGGTATAAAAAATGCAACAGAGATAGAGGAATTGTTGGGGGAATAGAATTATCGACTGCTGGAAAGAGAACTGGTTCTTGGTATTAGGACTTGAACTAAAATTAAATTGTGGATCACTTCACAAGAGGTAACAGGCAGAAAGTGTCATTGTGGTATGACCAAAAAAGCTAGATGCCATACGTATGGGAAAAATGCAGAATCCCCATGAGATTGCTGCTAAGAAATGGACAGGATGGTATGGAGAATCTATTGGAGATAAGATTGGATTCAGTAAGAATGCACAGAACTAAATAGTGAAGATTCAATTTGTCATATAGAAGCACTGGTTAGGTAGGTGCAGAAAATTGCCTAGATTATATAGGCAGTGATGATCCTGAATAAAGTGCTTCAAGCGAGTGTATTGGGGTTGTAGAGAGAACAGATTTAGGGAAGTATAAACTACTGCAAGAGTGAAAAGAGACAATCAGAGGATGATAAAGGAGTAAAAACTGTAGAACCAGCAGACAATGATCTTCCAAAGAAATTCAAACTTTATTCCACTTGCATCTATACAAAGAACAACCGCTGACGCGTTTTCTGCCTTACTTGACCTTAGTCATAGCCTATCACTCCAAAAGAGAGTCATCCATGCACCGAATGTGCATTAAAAGGACGCATGATAGAGGTGAGCTTTGTGTTTCAAGTTTTCATGATAGGAATGTTCATAAAAAAATAGCTTATGTCAGAAGGTATACATAACGCCCATAGACATTAGATGATCATTGATCAGATTAAATAAGGATCAAATGTCTGTGGGTGCTAGGCCAAACTTTTCAGACACCACCTAGCTGAAAAATCTCAGGGTACAAAGTATTTATCTTTGGTTTTTTTCCCTTAAATTTAGAGGATTTGGGGGGCCTCTCTAGACAATTAAAATGGTTTGCACACTTGTCATGATTGAATCTCCAGAATATCATCTAATATACTGTATGGAGGGTAGCTTTAGACTGCTGGTGATTGGATGACATGGATAGATGAGGGAAGGTGAACTGGTTAGAATTTACATTAGTAGATAGAGGAATACGTAGTTGTAAATAGACATTAGCAGTAATTGAATGCTTAAGTAGGGCATGAAAAGGATACCCTACTGAACTTTGTCTGGCCATAGCATATGCTGGTGACTTAGTACTGACTTTGTTGGAGGTTTAGTATTGACTTTGAATATAATGACTTATTAAAACCTTATACAGCAAGGCAAAAAAACAATATAGAACTTGCAGTAATCCCTAGCTACCAGTCATGATTCATTATTTCACTAAACTGACTTCACAGAACTGAATTCTGATTGGTTGCTACAGATCATTGCTTTTATGAGATGTTAGTGTGCAGGCATGGGTAGCCTAGCACTAGAAGATTTTCACCAGCCAGAACGAACACAAGGTAGGAAGTTGCCACTGTCGAGTAAGGACCTGCGGGTGGAATGGTTCAGCTTAGTGTACTTAAGGGGCTAGGGAAGGGACTATGAGTTTTAGGATAAATACTGAACTTGTTCTCTAAATTCTTTGAGTTTTAGCAGTGAAAGCTCAATATTTCTTCCAAACCAATATATTCCAATATTTAATTAATCTGACTATAAAAATAGAACCTCATCCTATGCTAATCAGATTATAAACCTTCTATTCACTCTATTTAAGAAAGGGAGAAATTGCAACCATCATAGTGACCATGTTAACCATTTTACTAATAGCTACGCCACTGCAGCACTGCAAAAGCTGCATGCATATGCATCTTTGATACAAGAAGGATGCTGTAGTATGAACGCATATCAACACTGTGTATTGTCTGCTCAATGCCCTGAAATTCTAATCTGCACTGAGAGAGTTACAGGTTCCGTGTTTTACTGCTGGCCTCTGTGGCACCCTGCTGTATAAGAGCACAGAACAGTTTGACTTGCATTTATTAGAGGCCTGTCCATATGCCAACAGCACTCTGAGTTTGTTATGTGCCTAACTATCAATGCATACTTAATCAGTATTCTTTGCCCTTCACTCTTTCTACATGAACCTTGGCATAAAGTTAATTTAATATTGCGTTACACTGGTTTATGCTTAAATAGATTGAGATTATTTCTATAAATTGGAAAACCATCATTATCAAGTGGCCCAGTGAACTTGCTGGGAATTGCAGTTGCTCAGTTGTTGCAGGTCTAGTCTGCTTAGCTCCAGTCTAGAGCAGAACATGACTAGTCCTAGACTAATATAGAATGACCTTGCTGTCCTACACATGCCGATAGGGTATGTCTATTCAGCTTCTAGCTGATCCTCATTGGGTAACCCATATTTCTTTGCCCTTAGTGCCTCTTTGTGTACCCACCCCTAGTTCTGTGCGCACATTCATAGGCAATGCTGCAGAAGGGAGGTGCCGCAATGTGCCAGTCTGCAGAAGTCAGGCAGAAAAAGTGACATTACATAAAGTACAGAACTGAGAGGAAGGTGAAATGTGCTGCGTGTACCTGGGCATAACTCACAAGATTGAACGCTGCAGGGCCGGCCTTAGGGGTGTGCGAGCAGTGCGGCCGCACAGGGCGCCATGGCAACAAGGGCGCGGTGCGGCCGACACAGCTCGTCCTGGGGGCGGCTTCTCTCCCCCTAGGTGTGGTCACTGAGGGGCGCTGTAAAGCTTTCTCGCACAGGGC